ATGCGCTTTACACAATTGATGTGTGTATGGATTGGGATAACAGTTGTATGAGCCCCTAATAAAATGTTTAGAGAGAAAAAATTAAGAAGAATATGTCAAAAACAAACAAAGACACTTTGCTCTGGCAGAACAGCCCCTTGAAGAAAAGGCCACTTTGCCTGCATGGGCCTCGTGCTCGTGTCGTGGGGGCCGAGCACAGGCTCCGTAGTGTCGGCCTTTCCCACTCGTGGAGCCGGTCTCGGGTGTCTTCCTGCCGCACCACCGCCGGTGAGGCTGAAGAAGTAGCGGCCCTCGAGACGCTCACGGCCTTACGAGTTGTGTGCCAGTGGAGGAAAAAGCAACGGGGAAGATGGGACTCTCGACATCAAACAACTACAGTATTTGACTCTTCCCCTCTCACATCGCAGATTTGACCTTTATTTCCAACTATTAGAAGTGCGTTTTCTCCTCGGCAGCGGAGGGAGACAGGTCTGTTCAGTGAGTGAGGAGGCTTGTGATGATCGAGTATTGATGCGGAGCAGAGGTCACCTGGTTGGTTTGATGCACTGGAACTATTGAATTAATGATGCTTTATTTTGCAAAGGAAATCATTTCACAGTGATCGCTCCTTCTCGTCTTAACAAACTGGATCAGAGTCATAGGTTTTCCTTGGAATGATGAGATTAACCCAAAAAGTTCCTCTTTTGTTTCATTCAGGTTTGCACACCCTTATCAGTATGAGCTAGATCACTTTACACCCCCAGATTCAGCCCTGCAGAGGCCACAGCCCCAGGTGAGTGCCCAGCCTGCCGGTAAGCCGCGCAGCCAAGCTCACTGCCGTCCAGGTTCCGACATGTAGCCGCAGTAATGGACACGCGAGCTCTGGCCCGTTGAATGTCTGAGACAGTCGATCTTTCCAGGGGTCCGGAGTCTCATCTTTCTCCCATGGAATGAATTCAAACTGCTGACCTTGTGGTTAGCAACCCAAGGCATTACCTCCTGTGCCACCAGGGCTGAGCGGCCCGGAAAGGCTCAAATAAGTGGCCTTGACCTACTTTAAATGGGTTTTCAGTGGCAGTTTGCTGCTTAGGTGGTTTCTCCCCCTCGGAATCATGTTTTGCTTTATGAAGGATGATGATGCCGACCCCCCTTTTCCTAACTACGACTTCTGTGTGCAGCTATACAGACCTGTAGAAGAAACACCCTGCCATTTCATATCCTCCCTGGACGAACTTGTGGCGCTCAACGAGAAGCTCTTGAACTGCAAAGAATTTGCTGTGGACTTGGAGGTAACTTGTAATAACCTTGAGTGGAATTACACGTTTCCACAGGTTCATTTACCTGAGAAGCATTGAGTTCATGTGTTTGGTACAACGTCTCTCTGTAGGTGACTTTTCAAAAACAGTACAAGAAAGCCTAGTAACACTGTTATCTTCCTCCCACCCCCCTGCCATCTCTGTGTGTTAGCACCATTCGTACAGGAGCTTCCTGGGACTCACCTGCCTGATGCAAATCTCCACTCGCTCGGAAGACTTCATCGTGGACACCCTGGAGCTCCGCAGTGACATGTACATCCTCAACGAGAGCCTGACAGACCCCGCCATCGTGAAGGTCAGCCAGCCTTTCCCCACCCTCGCGTGTGAGTGCAAGGTGGAAGTGCTGCTTTCAGCACAGACCCAGTCAAGTCAAGACGGATAACGCCACACCAGGGCACCACGGGCTGAACTGCTTTTGTGTCTCAGCTCCCGAGAGAACAGCCAAGACTGGCTCATTACCACTGGAAAATGTTCGCTCGTTTTTATCACTGCTGCATCAGGGTTGTTTGAACTTAATGACAGGGGGCTGCCTTCTCGGGGTCACTGCCTGCGAGCACTGGCAACCCGTAAGAGTATGCAGTTAGGAGAAGAGTAGGCTGCGCCCCGCTGAAGGAAGCATGTCAGCTGAGCACCCTCCGTCTGCACAAGGCCCTCGAATGCCGGGCGCAGGGTCTGTGGGGGCAGGAGCTGCCTTTCACCAGCGAAGGGCACGCGTTTGGTTTGGTTTTCAGGTCTTCCATGGTGCCGATTCGGACATTGAGTGGCTGCAGAAAGACTTTGGGCTGTACGTGGTCAACATGTTTGATACCCACCAGGCAGCGCGCCTACTGAACCTGGGCAGGCACTCGCTGGACCACCTGCTGAAACACTACTGCAGTGTGCAGTCGAACAAGCAGTACCAGCTGGCGGACTGGCGAATACGGTCCGTGGGCTCGTGGGCTCGGCGGCGGGGACAGGGAGGGCGGTACTGCGGAGGCCTG